TATGCCCTTATAATAGTTTAAATAAACTTTTGAATAAATAACTTAAAACCACATCCACATTTAATTTTTTCCCCTATTATGCTTAAATTGTGCTTGATGCCTTAATCCTACCTATTATGCTAAAAGAAATGCTGGCATAATCAGCACACCCATAGCTACAAATCAGGACATCAGTTGTAGCCCAATAAGATATAATTCTCAACAAGAATGGTTCTACATAAAGTTTTAAATATTGCATTAGCCACTAAGGAAAGGAGAACACCTCTAGAGAATAAAGAGTGAATAATATACAAGTGTCTCTTGTAATAGATCCAGTAGACTGGTACGATTGAAATTGTCTTGTCAGTTTCTACATGTTTAATTGCTCTCTTGTCATCTATTGCTCTCCTTCTGTCATTCAATGAATTACACGTTTTATGATGGAATGCAGTGGTTATCTAAAAAATATGAAAGGTGAATGATTTTGAAGAAGCAGAAAGATTTGGACAATGATATCTTGAAATTGGTCTTCTTAGTGAAATACAAAGAAGACAATAACCAATGATGACATTAACCTCCTTTTGAGTATAAAACATGAGAACATCACATGTTTAGCTATTAGTATCTGTATATAGGTAGCGATACGTTCATTGCCAAGAAAATCACATATATGACTACACCACTGTAAAGTGACAACTGGAATGTAGCAAGCTAAATCACAGGAATCACTTTCATAATATCAAAATTTGTCATGCAGATGTAATAACAGAATCCGTATTTTTTCCATTAGCTGTTTCCTCTAGATTGCCCTAATTGTTACAGTGCATAGCTGCTGCCGTTGCTCCAGGAGATGCTATTCTAACAATATGATTACGAATATTATGATAAAAACATCAGCTGCTACAAATTTTATAAATATTTATAAAATGAAAGATATATCTAAAAATTGTAACAACTACAAATGTCAATCAAAACTGGAAATAATAAAATCTCCCGATGTTTCAGTGTCATTTATGGTATTTGCTGCCATCAGTCTATTCTCCCAATGTTCCTCTACTGCTGCACGTAGACCAAGATCAGTATCCCTGACCCTATTGACATACCATCGAGCTATTAATACATACACCACTAATCCAATGATAGTAATTATACCAAATATTACAGAGAGCCATGAGGTACAAGACATAACTTTAAATGAGTGTATAGGGTGATAATAAACTATTAATAAGATGCCTGAACCAATGTCAATGAATATACCATGCAAAAACCAGAACAGTCCAGTGATCATTCCATGCATACCAAAAGGAGCTTGACTACACAGGAACTCAAATAAACATTTATAAGAGAGAAATAATGATATACCAGCCAATACTGATGGTATGAGTAGTATCCAATAGGAAGTTTGAATTGTTCTATTATTGACTGATTCCCATATGAAGAAGCAAGTCATATTGGAAATGTTATCACTAGCAATCCTTCCAATCAAGTCAATGAGGAATAAACTAACAATTGATAATATGATGAGAATGTAAGCTAAGCCAAGTCCTCTCAATGGATTAATTATAAAATATTCTAATTTAGAGAAGAGAGGTAGAAGAACCAGTTCAAACAAAGTGACTAAAACAAACAAAGGGGTGAAGATGCTTATAAGCCAAATAACATTTTCAGCATTCCCTTGGAAAACTTCATATCCATCTTCAAATTGTGCAACAAAATCTGAGAATCTATTCAAAAAAGGAACAACAAGGACAAATAGGGACAAAACTGTCGCTAAAATAACAGCAATACGAAGGAAAGTCTTCACATTTTCCACTTCTTCATGAGAGAAACAACCACCATACCTCTCCTTAGCAAGATCCATTCTACTGGGCTCCTCTCCCCAGTATGTGAATGCACTACGATGCTGTCTTCTAGTGCGACTAGTTTTGAGAGAAAACTTCAAAACTTTAAATACAATTTTATAAGGATTAGGAATAGGTATGTGCTCAAAACGATGCTTAAAGAGAAAATGAAGACAAAGAGAAAAAGAAAAAAGAGCAAAGGCCACAAATGAAACAACAAGCTCATCTGACATAACTGTAAACATGTAGCCAATATAAAGGCACAGTGAGAACCAGTGAATGAATGCTCTTATCTTGACAGTAGATTCATTCATCAACTGGTCTATACCATATGGCAATATATTAGTGAACAACAATGACAATGAAACTAGCATGAAAACAAAAGCCACACTAAACCAGATAAACTTCCCTATCAGGGCAGTAGTACCACATGAATGATATTGCCAACAGCATCCTATGGCCTGTATTAGAGTGCCTATCCAACCAAGCCATAGACCAAGATAAATAGCATTACCCCTACCAATCTTAGTATCTGATAACCAACCACAGAAAGGAGCAAGAAGAAATATAGTATTTCCTAATATAATTCCAACAATATGAAATAATGTAATGTTACCAGAGTCATTAGATCCACATTGGTTGTATGGGTTACGAGAAAAATTTCTAAAGAAAATTTCAAAAAATGAATAGCTAACTGGTAATGGCAGAGCATAAATCAGTAGAAGGATTGACGGTAAACTCAATGAACGAGACTTTAATTCCTTACAGTAGTTACTGAAGCAGTTGAAAGGTTTGTACTTCCTCTTACTTGCATTGTTAACAAGTGGAGAAGAAGGCAACAACCTCCTTCTTTCTGGAGAGACAGAAACCATCTTATTTCAATAGCAATAAACAGATCTATCAAAATCACATGAAGGTTGTTTTAGTCATAGTAGGCCCCCTACCCTTTTACTCATTTTATGATAACACAAAGAAATAGCTTACAAGTGATCCCAGAGCAACAGATACTGGCCACAAACCTTTGCTTCAGAAGAGTATTGTGCCAAAAGATCTGTGATGCAAACACAGAAAAAGGTCCCCAAAGGATTTTTTTCTTTTAATGATATAAAACAGGCTGTGCTTTATATAAACCAGTATAGTGGGTCTCACCTTGATGTCTACTTCCCAAAAATGAAAGTTGCATTTATCAGAACTGGGTTCTTCCACTTCTATACGGACTCTAAACTACATGTATGATGACCCATTTACCTGGGCATTTTATTTCCTTAGCTATTTGGCTGTGGCAGTTTCTCACCCTAAAGCTAGGGAGATAGCTGCATATGCATAGCTCCTGCCATTGCTCCAGGAGATGCTATTTCAAACAACATGCTTATGATTATTATGATAAAAGCATCAGCTGCTACTGGAAATGACCAAACTGCTTCAAATTTTATAAATTTTTGAATAATAAAAAATCTTTTAAAAATGTACATAATTACAGCAAATTTTAATTAAGACTAGAAATGATAAGATCCTCTGTTTCAGTGCCATTTATGGCATTTCCTGTCCTCAGTCTATTCTCCCAATGTTCCTCTACTGCTGCACGTAGACCAAGATCAGTATCCCTGACCCTATTGACATACCATCGAGCTATTAATACATACACCACTAATCCAATGACAGTAATTATACCAAATATCATACAGAACCATGAGGTACATGAAATAAATGAGACTGAGTGTATAGGGTAATAGTAGACTATTAATAAAATGCCTGAACCAATGTCAACGAACATACCATGCAAAAACCAGAACAGTCCAGTGATCATTCCATGCATACCAAAAGGAGACTGACTACACATAAACTCAATTATACATGTGTAAGAAAGCAAACGTGATGTACCAGCTAATACTGATGGTATGAGAACTATCCAATAGGAAATCTGAATAGTTTCAGTAACTGGTTCCCATATGAAGAAGCAAGGCATATAAGAAATATTATCACTAATCCTTCCAATCAAGTCAATGAGATAAAAACTAACAATTGATAATATGATGAGAATATTAGACAAACCAAGTCCTTTCAATGGATTAATCATAAAATATTCTAATTTTGGGAAGAGAGGTAGAATAACCAGTTCAAACAAAGGGACCGGAACAAAAAAGGGGGGGATACTGCTTAAAAACAAGATAGCATATGCAGCATTTCTTTTATAACCATTTTGAAATTGTGCCACAAAAAATGAGGAGCTATTTAAAAATGGAATAATGGGGACAAATAAGGAGAACATAGTAATCAAAACAATAGTAATACGTAAAAAAGTCTTTACATTTTCCACTTCTTCATGAGAGAAACAACCACCATACCTCTCCTTAGCAAGATCCATTCTACTGGGCTCCTCTCCCCAGTATGTGAATGCACTACGATGCTGTCTTCTAGTGCGACTAGTTGTGAGACAAAAATTCAATACTTTAAATACAATTTTATAAGGATTAGGAATAGGTATGTGCTCAAAACGATGCTTAAAGAGAAAATGAAGACAAAGAGAAAAAGAAAAGAGAGCAAAAGCCACAACTGAAATAAGGAGCTCATCTGATACGACTGAAATTATGTAGCCACTATAAAGACACAGGACAAGCCAGTGAATAAATGCTCTTATCTTGACAGTAGATTCATTCATCAACTGGTCTATACCATATGGTAATATATTAGTGATTATGAGTGTTGATGACACTAATATTAAAACAAAAGCTATACCAAAAAACACATACTTTCCTACCAGAGCAGTAGTACCACATGAATGATGATATTGCAAACAGCATCCTATGGCCTGTATTAGAGCACCTATCCAACCAAGCCATAGACCAAGATAAATAGCATTACCCCTACCAATCTTAGTATCTGATAACCAACCACAGAAAGGAGCAAGAAGAAATATAGTATTTCCTAATATAATTCCAACAATATGAAATAATGTAATGTTACCAGAGTCATTAGATCCACATTGGTTGTATGGGTTGCGAGAAAAATTTCTAAAGAAAATTTCAAAAAATGAATAGCTAACTGGTAATGGCAGAGCATAAATCAGTAGAAGGATTGACGGTAAACTCAATGAACGAGACTTTAATTCCTTACAGTAGTTACTGAAGCAGTTGAAAGGTTTGTACTTCCTCTTACTTGCATTGTTAACAAGTGGAGAAGAAGGCAACAACCTCCTTCTTTCTGGAGAGACAGAAACCATCTTATTTCAATAGCAATAAACAGATCTATCAAAATCACATGACGGTTGTTTTAGTCATAGTAGGCCCCCTACCCTTTTACTCATTTTATGATAACACAAAGAAATAGCTTACAAGTGATCCCAGAGCAACAGATACTAGCCACAAACCTTTGCTTCAGGAGAGTATTGTGCCAAAAGATCTGTGATGCAAACACAGAAAAAGGTCCCCAAAGGATTTTTTTTTAATGATATAAAACAGGCTGTGCTTTATATAAACCAGTATAGTGGGTCTCACCTTCATGACAACTCCCCTAAGATGAAAGTTGCATTTATCAGAGCTGGGTTCTTCCACTTCTATACAGACTCTAAACTACATGTATAATGACCCACTTACCTGGGCATTTCATTTCCTTAGCTATTTGGCTGTGGCAGTTTCTCACCCTAAAGCTAGGGAGATAGCTGCATATGCATAGCTCCTGCCATTGCTCCAGGAGATGCTATTTCAAACAACATGCTTATGAATATTATGATAAAACCATCAGCTGCTACTGGAAATGACCAAACTGCTTCAAATTTTATAAATTTTTGAATAATAAAAGATATTTTTAAAATGTACATAATTACAGCAAATTTCAATTAAGACTAGAAATGATAAGATCCTCTGTTTCAGTGCTATTTATGGCATTTCCTGCAATCAGTCTATTCTCCCAGTGTTCCTCTACTGCTGCACGTAGACCAAGATCAGTATCCCTGACCCTATTGACATTTTGTGTTTTTTGCTAGTATTTGTTGCCCTGTGATCACTTTTAAGCTATTGCTTTGTGTTATCATAACATGAGTAAAAGGGTAGGGGAAAAACTATGACTAAAACAACCATCATGTGATTTTGATAGATCTGTTCACTGTTTATAGCCCTCGAAAAAAAAGGCGCCCTACGGTATCAGGGCTGGGTTCTTCTGCTTTAAATACTGACTCAAAGATATAAGGGAAAGGGACATTGATGATCCACTTACCTGGGCATTTTATTTCTTTAGTTACTTGGCTGTGGCAGTTTCTAAAGCTAGGGAGATGGCTGCATATGGTCAAGTAAATATCATTGCTAATGTTTATGTAACCTGACAAGTATGCAAATGGCACCTCCGCTTGAAGCAATACACATTCATCTTACTGAGTGATGTGCAGCACTTTTATGCTAATAAGCAAGTCTCTATATTCATTATTTCTGTCTTACAATGGAATAACTCTAATATAACATGATTTCTTCTAAATTGTGTAATTTATTACACAATTATTACTACATAAAATTATAATTATAATTTATTGTGTAATTTTATTGTGTAAAACTAATTTGGGGACAAAAAAGAGGGCATTTCACTACTTCACTTGTATAGTTTTGGTTAACTGCTTCCATTAATTTCAAGCTAATTCCTTTTATGGCTTAAAAGTTGAAAAGGCACAAGAGAGTGCTGATGAATCTTATCGTCTCTAGCTTTTCTCTCCAACAAGGCAAAAGGCGTCTCCCACTAAGGCAAGAACACAGAAAAGAAGGAGTAAATAATGTACAAGTGTCTCCTCTTGTAATAGATCCGGCACAATTGATAGGGTCTTGTCAGTTGCTACTTGTTTGATTGCTCTCTTGTCATCTATTGTTCTCCTTCTGTCATTCAATCAATTATTATGCTAGTATTGTTTCTTTTTGCAAACATGGAAGGTGTTAATGATTTTGAAGAAGCAAAAAGAGTTAGATAACATTATCTTAAAATTAGTCTTCTTAGCAAAATACAAGGCATGCTTATTGCTTACCTAATATTCCTTTATTGTGATAGGTTGTGATACTCTCACTGCCAAGAAAACCTCACTGATATATAACTATGCCACTGTAAAATCACAACTGGAATGTAGCAAGCTAAATTAGAATCACGTGCTCAAGAATATTACGCCGAAAGCATAAGCTGCTACTGGAAACGACTAAACTGCTTCAAATTTTAAAAATATAAAAACTATTTCAAAAAATTGTAATCACTACAAATGTCAATTAAAACTAGAAATAATGTGAATTTTTTCAGTTTCATTCATGGCATTTGCTGCTATCAGTCTATTCTCCCAATGTTCCTCTACTACAGCACGTAGACCAAGATCAGTATCCCTGACCCTATTGACATACCATCGAGCTATTAATACATACACCACTAATCCAATAACAGCGATTATACAAAACATGACTGTAAACCATGAGGTACATGACATAAATGAGACTGAGTGTATACGGTAATAATAAACTATTAATAAGATGCCTAAACCTATGTCAATGGATATACCATGCAAAAACCAGAGCAGTCCAAAAATCATTCCATGCATACCAAAAGGAGACTGACTAGACAGGAACTCAAATGAACATGTCACAGTGAGAAATAATGTTGTACCAGCTAATACTGATGGTATAAGTAGTATCCAGTAAGAAATATCAATTGTTTTTTTAACTGATTCCCAAATGAAGAAGCAAGGCATTTCAGACACATCACTAACAAGTCTTCCAATCAAGTCAATGAGAAAAAAACTAATAATTGATAAAATAAAGAGAACATTAGCCAAACCAATTCCTTTTAAAGGATTAATTATAAAATATTCTAATTTAGGGAAGAGAGGTAAAATAACCAGTTCAAACAAAGGAACTATGATAAAAAATGAGGAGAATTTGCCAAGGACAAAAATCACAGTTTTAGCATTTCCTTTTAATCCTTCATAACCATCTTTAAACTGTGCAACAAACACTGAACCATTTAAAAATGGAACAATGGAAATAAAAAGGGGAGAAAAGGTAGCCAAAACAACAGCAACACGTAGAAAAGTCTTGACATTTTCCACTTCTTCATGAGAGAAATAACCACCATACCTCTCCTTAGCAAGATCCATTCTACTGGGCTCCTCTCCCCAGTATGTGAATGCACTACGATGCTGTCTTCTAGTGTGACTAGTTTTGAGAGAAAACTTCAATACTTTAAATACAATTTTATAAGGATTAGGAATAGGTATGTGCTCAAAACGATGCTTAAAGAAAAAATGAAGACAAAGAGAAAAAGAAAAGAGAACAAAGGCCAAAACTGAAACAATGAGCTCATCTGATATAACAGAAAATACAGAACCACTATAAAGGCACAGTGAGAACCAGTGAATGAAAGCTCTTATCTTGACAGTAGATTCATTCATCAACTGATCTATACCATATGGTAATATATTTGTGATCATGAGGGACAATGACACTAACATGACAACAAAAGCCACACTAAAAAACAGATATCTTCCTAGCAAAGCAGTAGTACCACATGAATGATATTGCAAACAGCATCCAATGGCAAACAACAGAGTGCCTATCCAACCAAGCCATAGACCAAGATAAATAGCATTACCCCTACCAATCTTAGTATCTGATAACCAACCACAGAAAGGGGCAAGAAGAAATATGGAATTTCCTACTATAATTCCAACATTATGAAATACTGTAACACTACCAGGTTCAACAGATCCACATTGGTTGTATGGGTTGTGGAAAAAATTTCTGAAAAAGATTATAAAAAATGAATAGCTAACTATTATTGGCAGAGTATAAATCAGTAGTAGGACTGATGGTAAATTCAATGAACGAGACTTTAATTCCTTACAGTAGTTACTGAAGCAGTTGAAAGGCTTGTACTTCCTTTTACTTGCATTGTTAACAAGTGAAGAAGAGGGCAACGACCCCTTTTTTCCTGGAGAGACAGGATCCATCTTATTTCAATAGCGGTGAACAAATCTATCGAAATCACATGACAGTTGTTTTAGTCATAGTAGGTCCCCCACCCTTTTACTCACTTTATGATTTTATGATAACACAAACCAAGTTACAATTGATCCCAGAGCAACAAATACTGGCCACAAACCTTCTGCTTTAGGACAGTATTGTGCCAAAAGATTTGTTATGCAAACACAAAAAGGTCTATATACCTTCATTAGGCTGTGCTTTATATAAACCAGTATAGTGGGTCTCACCTTGATGTTAACTCCCCTAAGACAAAAACTTCAGTCATCAGGGTTGGGTTCTTCCACTTCTAATACTGACTCTAAGCTATGATGACCCACTTGCCTGGGCATTTTATTTCCTTAGTTATTTGGCTGTGGCAGTTTCTGGCCCTAAAGCTAGGGAGATGGCTGCATATGGTTGAGTAAATATCATTGCTAATGTTTATGTAAACTGACAAGTGTGCCAATGGCACCTCCACTTGAAGCAATATACATTGTATTACCATCTTACTGAGTGATGTGCAGCACTTTAATGACAATAAGTAAGTCTCAATATTCATTATTTCTGTCTTACAGTGGAATAACTCTAACATGGCTTCTTCTAAATGCAGTGGTCTGTGGTATAGTTTTTGGTATTCTAAGATCTAGTAAGTACTATCATGCCTAGTCCAGCAGGAGACAATAAGAAAGCTGACTAGGAGCTCATCTTGATAACAATAATAGTATTAAAGACACAATGCACATGCTTGTGCTGTCTCAAAAAGAGACAATTTAGAAATGCATTGGGATATACACCTCAAATGATATTTTAAAACCCAAAATACACCCTCAAGACTATGGGTATCGTTTCAGGTATACATCCAATACATTCCTCAAGCCATGTTATATGCATAATATAGAGCTTGTAAGTTAATAACAATATGATAAACTAGTGACAGAACTTGTATACATCCACAATGCAAGTTGAAATTACTAATGCATTTTGGATGTATATTACATACACAACATGTAAGCTTTGTTACTATAGTTTGAATAAAAATGATAGGTAACTGACCACATATATAGGCATAATTATTGATGCCACTTTATGAATGAATGCTTCTAGAGCATTATATTATTGACTGTTACTTTTTCATATCACATCTATTCATACCATAAAGGTATAATCATTGTCACCATTAGCATATTCAATGTCATAGTATTCTAAAGCCCTCCATGCACTAGGCACCATGTGGTTAGCAACATGCTGTCAAGAATAGAATCCGTTCTATTCACAGCAACCAGTGCATGATTACAACATGTTCCTTGTAACATATGGTGCCTAGAGTATGGTTGGCTTAACTATGAATACATCATCATTGATCAAGTAGCAAAGGAAGTAGGATGCCAAATGACATTTTTTGTTCAGATTTTTTCTATCATAAAATACAAGTTCATTATTACAATAATTCAATTTCAATACTAAACTTCATGTATTTATATGTTAAAATGGGACTATAAAATAGTCTCTATCCATTGGCACCCACTAGCAGTGTTAGTGCAATAAACTTTGAGTGACTTTACTCCTTGTTCTACTCTTCCATCTATAAGTTATTTTCTTCAATTTGCATTATTATTCAATATATTGGACAATTTTCATAGTATCCTAAGCCCATCCATGCACTAGGCACCATGTGGTTAGCAACATGCTATTAAAAATAGAAACCATTCTATTGACAGCAACCAGTACATGATTATAACATGTTCCTAGTGGCATATGGTGCCTAGAGTATGATGAGCTTAACTATGACTAAAATATAATAATACGTCCATTTTAAGATCAGCTAAACCAGACATCATTGATCAAGTAACAAAGGAAATAGGATTCAGAGTGATGTTTCTCGTTCAGGTCGTTTCGTCTTCTCATTTCCAAGGCTGTAATACAACAGGACTACTATGGAGCAATTGAATTAGTTTCTTTTCATGGATTAGTTGAATGCTCTAAAACAAGAGAGCAGTTGACTTTGACAAATTAAATTCTTTATGTATCATCATGAATACAAGTTAGCTGATTATTTATTATAATGATTCCATTTCAATACTAAACTGTATGTATTTTTATCATGTTAAAATGGGCCAATAATCATGATAATGATTATACTGAAAATCGTTCTGTTAATTTTCCATAATCGTCCATCCCTAGCTCGTATAAAGCATCTGGAAACTTTAGAGGATAAGCCAGACTGCTGAGAATAGTTGCTAGAGGTTATTCGACAATATATACTCACTCTCTTCTTTTCAAATTGGAGATATAATGGAACCATGGCATGATAATAATTCCAGACCTGGTGTCTTAATAAAAAACAATGATCATATCATTCATTTGATGAAGTAATGAACATAATGGACAAAATTTTCATTTTTATAATTTTTCCGGATACATATACTTGTCCTCATGCTGTGTAGAAAGTTTGAGCAGATTCCGATCAAAATTGGATTTTTTACGAATTTTAAAGTTTGCTCAAAAATCAGGCTAAAGACCATGGGCTATAGTACAGGGTATTTCATCAAAAATGCCTCAGAGAGAAATGTTCAATTTTATAATTTTTCCTGATACATATACATGTCCTCATGTTGTGTAGAAAGTTTAAGCAGATTCCGATCAAAATTGGATTTTTTATGAATTTTAAAGTTTGCTCAAAAATCAGGCTAAAGACAATGGGCTATAGTACAGTCCTACCACCTTAACCAGAGGTCAGAGGTGAAGATCACACATCCTACCTTTGTTTATACAATGAAAGCCACACAATATAAACTTTTTGTTTTGTACATCTTTATAGTGGGTTTCTTTCATTCAGCCAAACTTTTATTCTCCAAGCACCAAAAACCAACTGAAACACATGAAGTAGATGGATGGAGTCCTGCCACAGAACAAAATAAATCCAATAAAGTTAGATTTTCCACAAAAAACGAAAGTCTGACCCAAAAAAGAAAACTACTGTAATCATAGTATTCAATTTCTTTGTAATAAATTAATTCTAATCTATATAGCTTGGGAGTGTTTAGCCTTGCATACCAATCTTGTTTGTTGCAGGATAAATGATGGACAATCTCAGAGCACAATATGTATATGTTATTACACCCCTGCGAGTGCAATATCCGATTTACATGCACCGAGCCCGAGGGCCGTAGGCCCAAGGGTGAGGTGCATGTAAATAGGATATTGCACGAGCATGGGTGTAATAACAAATTTATATCCAATTGAAGCTATACGGTACACGCACTGCGCATGCGCAAAGCAATTTTACACGTGACAAGTACCTGACAAGTAGAGGAGAGCTTAGAGATGGCTGACAGGAGCGCCCAAAAACTAGAGGTAAGTGTCGCTTTCATTAAAGAGAAGGAAGGCGGAGAGGACAGCGAGCGTTTAAGAAGAAAGAAGGAAGGTGGAGAGGACAGCGAGCATTTAAGAAGAAAGAAGGCAGGTGGAGAGGACAGCGAGCGTTTAAGAAGAAAGAAGGAAGGTGGTGAGGACAGCGAGCGTTTTGTTGCTGTATCAAAAGAGGCTTTAGAAGACCTATTCATCTATATAATGCCGAAAAACTCTGCTCTCAATAGTCATTTGTTTAAAAATTTAATTTTGTGTCAAATTTTGACCAGAGAAATCTTCTTCTTCCACCATTAAGGAATTCCCATTGCTATACAACTTCAATAAATATCATAAATTGACATGGCCACACATTGTATGCATTGAATTGAGATTCAGGACATGGTAACATTTGGGGTTGCTTTGACATAACACTACCATAATTATTTATTCTCGCTTACAAAGTACACGTATATAACCACAAAATAATGTCACTATAGCAGTGTGCTGCCTAGTGTATGGTGGGTAAAGAGGGGAAAGAGAGAAAAGGAAGGTTTACAGTCAACGAAAAAACATCATTACATGGATGACCTGACTTTTTGACACAAATAACACTCTGATATTGACATGAAATAGACCAAACTTAAATTTTGTGTTACATTTTGTGATGACTGTAAACCAGACTTTACATGTAAGTACCTCAATAAATTATGTGGATTGTCCATACGCTACTAGCCATGCCTTGCCAGGAGATTGAAACTAACACCACTCGCAGCAGTCATGCAGGATATCAACCTCTTTTGATCCCTAGAACATATTAAAAATATAATGCTAATAAAACTGATTTTAATTACCGTATTGCAAGTAATACTGGAGGGGACATTATTCACATAAATTCGCCAAAATAAGGCCTAGTTTACACACGACTATGGCCTTGTTTACACGACTACGCTAGCCTAATCTGCATCACCATTTTTGCTATTACCGTGTTTACACTAATCCAGCAAGTGAATTATCATTAGAATTTATCATTAATTTTGTTTATAGAAGTATCAGTTTTGGTATTAGTTGTTCTTTTGTTTGGATGCAATTTTCTGTGTTTTAGTGTAAACGAGACCCTTATCCAAGTAAAAATATATCTATTTTACTTTAGAACATAGTCATGTAAACCAGGCCTTAGCCAGCAATTTCCCAAAAATTATTCTCCAAAATTGGCCCACTATACTGTAATTACATTTTATTTATCGATAATAGGTTTAATGAATATTTGACACCCATAATCCCAACAAAGTAAAACTGAGAAGTATAGTGTGTTTGATTGCTATAACGTAAATTTTAATGTGCCAGGCTTCACTATTATTACTATCAGCCTACTATACTCGCTGAGTCGGCGAATCGACTCGCTAGTTTACTAAAATACTCACGTTAGGAGCCAAGGCCTTGGTTAATGTAGTCAATTCGTCAGCTTCATTTACTAGCTCAGGAGTATCGAAAGAAAAGAAGAGAGCGCCTTCAGGCTTCAAAGAGACTCCTCAGGTTACGAGAAGAAGAGCGCCGGAGACACCATTCTACACGTGTAAGTTGTAATTGTACTCCGTATATGTCCGTAGTCTAAACTTTGTTAATGAAATTAATTTAATTTTGTACATGTATTTTGGTGATAATAGATCTAATGGTAAGCCTTAGTCTATATTCCACTAAAAATTTATAATAATTTTTTGTAGATTACAAGACATTAAAATATTCCAATGATTTGTCAAGAAAATATCATCACTGGACTTGAGCCTGAGGTCACAGAGTCAAGTGGCGTACAGTTGGGATCAAAGAAATGGAGGTGAGCATTTTATGAATGATGTGCATAATTTTTATTTAATAAAATAAGAACTGAAACAAATTATTTTTGGTTAAGTCAGCACAAATATTTTTTGCTATTTCAAATTGTGATACACCGTCTGTGAGAAACTTCATGAGAAATGGTCTATTAGAGTGACATGTCATTGTGTTTTGCATTGCATCTTATAGTGACTTTTATTGTCACCAACACTTTTATCAGCTGCATTCTGCAGTGACACACATTTGAGGCATCATATATAGGCTATGTTAGACTGCGAGGGAAGAGTTGTATAGATTAAGAGAGGGATTCATATGGAAAGGGCAAAATAATAATGGGTCATGGTAAAACGCTACACTACGAAGTGTGTGCACAGGGTATACTCTGTACAGTAGTTTAGTTGTAGACTAGTCTATTTCTCCTACATCTATTGACTAAATCAGTTACGGTTCAGTGAGTAATAATTGATTGTATTCATAAAATAGTTATTATTATTTTTGTTCAAACAACAACAATAGCAACAGAAATAATAATAAGAAGAATGATAGTATTTATAGTATTCATAAAGTTCAATCAATTTGTTAAGTTAGTGAAAGAGGAAACTGTCATTAATGTCATAAACCATCATTATTTATAAAATAATAATTATTATAATAATTAATAAAATGTATCATTAATTGCATACAAAAATAAATTGTTACTTTATATGTATTGTTAGCAGCAAAACTAGAAACAATGTAAAACATTCAAGAGAAGAGCAGCAAAATAATTAATAATAGCAGCAAAAAGTAGAAAAATAATTAAATACCATAGCAAGGGCTTTTAGGGTTACGACTATATTTTGAGTTATGCAAGCAAAAAAATGCTATAATGGGTGATAAAAGTACCAATATAAGGAGCAAAACAAATAATATACCAAGACATACTAATGATAAAACCCCAACTATAGGAATAAGGTAAAAACAAATAAAAAAAAAGAGATATACAGATGCAATAAAAAGCAAAATACAATAGGCAGCAATGCTAGCAGCATAAATATTTATGAAGTAGGCAATGATTGCAACAGCAATAAGAAACCCTAACCATTTGCTATCAGTATGTCCAATGTTCCATGAGCTTTCAAAGAAAACAACAAATGCTCCAGTGTATAGACTTGGTGCAGCAACACGAAGTGGACTAGTGCAAGGATAGGCAATTTTTTCAAAAAGTGTAACTTTTTTAAACTTTGTGTAATCATCCCTAAACTGATCATTCCCAAGGTAAGTCATCACCTGCTCAACCATTTTGTCTGTTTTATTCTTGCTTTTGTCACTTCCCTTGCCTTTTGTCTGAAGTTCGGACATTAGATCCCATATGACATCCACTGGTAACTTTGATGTCCAAAATTGATGAATGAAAAAGAACATGGGCATTCCAATAAGAGGCATTAAATAAGTAAATATCATCATGTACCAGAGCTGCCAGCTATTTTCTATAGCATTTTCCTGTTTATACTCATGACAAAATTTGCCCACAATAATAATGATCATTAAGAACTGCAGAAACATTAGTGCACACATGTACATAAAGAAATTGATGATGAACATCATTCCCCGATATTTTTTGCTGACTCCAGTTTTGACCTTTCGAATTGAGCGAATGACTCTAAAAAATATGTAAGTCTTTTTAAAGTAAACAAATATTAGTACACTCAGAAAATTTAAACTAGCTGTGATCCAGTAAATTGTTGAATCGCTTTCTGAAACAAAATCATTTTTAGTCATCATGACAATCACTTTAAATATATTCAGTAGTAGATTAGGGTAGAAAATAGTCTCTAGGACTACAATACGAACAATGTCCATTACAGTAGTGCAACCTTTACCACAAGTACCTTCACAAGCACAGCTATCATTGAAACACTCTGCCTTATCCTCATCTTCTGGCTGAACCAACTCCTGGCATTTACTAGTCCTTTTTAATACTCTGCAGCCACGATGACGCAAATACAATAATAAATCAAAAGTGACAAATATCAGGCCAAGTACACTAACACCAAAGCTAATGTAATCAAATGTTTTCAGTATTTTTAAATTTTCTTTTTTAATTTCATTTTGTGTGATGCTCTCATTTCTTGTCCTATTGCTATCTTGAACTATTGTTATCACAGAGAAACTTGTTGAAAGCAGCAGGGAGACTACAGATAAATAGATGAATACCTCTCGGTATATAGCTTTGTGGAACAAGTTACTAAGAACAGATTTCATAATTACTTTTATGCCAATTTTTTTAGCTTTTTTAATTGAGTCTAGTTTAAAAGGACTCTTGTGGCAGAAATCAAAAGATTTAATGTGTGGGCTATTACATTTACATGTACATATACTACAACTCTCCTTATTTGAGGTAGAGCATTCTTCCAATGCTTCCTTAAGATACTCTAATGTTTCTTTAGCATCTCTGGTTAATAGAGGCTCTTCTTCATGAAGATATTCATCATCATCTTCAGGTTGATCTAATTCCTCGTGATCCATTGGTAAGTTTACTCCAGGAGAAGATTGAGTTGTTTTTTGAATGAGATCTTGTTGCTCAGGGCTATTGTGTGTAGGGCTTAAGACGCTCTCTTTTACCTCATCAGGTGATCCTTCCACCCTCAGCCCTTGATCTGACACTGCTCCATAAGGTGATGTTGAGTGCTTTGTTGACAAAAGAGGCATCGTTGTATCATCATTAGGAGCAGCCATCATTGAAAGGCTCTTTTTTACACAGAAACTTGCTAGAAATGTTATATTGTTCAAGTGACTTACAAGGGGTGTGTTGGGTAAATAAATACAAAGTGTACACATAAGTTTAGCTACCAAAATATCACATGACAGGGTTATCATGTGACTATGGATTGTATTACTTTATGAACCCATCCTTAGTTTAGAGCTAAATTGTTTTTTAATTATCCCTATATATTAGTCTAACATACCTACTACCACATTATTTGTGCTAAATATGCATCCAGTCATATTATTTTTAGTGTGAATGACTGTACAGTGCTTTATTTTGACAGCACTCTACTTCAGCAATTTTGCTTTTTTATCTGGAGCATGTTACTCATTGTAGGCACAGTGTACTGTGCTAAGATTCACACTCTATGGGATCTCACTTATTCCATTAAGGAGGTCAGAATTAGAAAGATAGGATGCTAAGGAATCCTATTTAGTGTTACTTTTGCCCTTTATGTTATTACTAGGGCTATTGATACTCCAGATGCTAATGAATAAGCAAGACCCCATAGAAAGTGAATCTTAGCACAGTACACTGTGCCTACAATGAGTAACATACTCCAGATAAAAGAAAGCAAAATAGCTGAAGTAGAGTGCT